TGTGCATGAGAAAAGCGGGGGTTGGAGCAAGTCATGTGTGAGGGCGTAGAGGGGTGTGAGGAGAACTGGGGCAAAGGGGGACGACAAGAGGGCAGGTGTTGGGAAGGCAGGGGCAGTGAGGGAAGGGAGAGGCACCAGGAGGGTTCAGGGATAAGGGAAGGTGCAGATGCCAGGGAGATGGTGGGAGGAAACAGAAGGGCAGACATGGGGAGGGAAGGGAATGGAGGGGAGGGACGGGCACCAGAGGGCAGAGGAGAGAGGCAGGGCAGGTGGGTAGAGGGAGGTGTTAGGAGAGGGGATGGGGAGAAGAACTAGAGGAGGGGTGGACACAGGGGGAAGGGAAGCTCATGTGTGAGGGTGCAGAGGGGCGTATGGAGAACTGGGGCAGAGGGTGGTGAGGGGATGGGCACCAGGGAGGAAGAGGGCAAGGGGGACAAGTGTTGAGAGGGCAGGGGTAGTGAGGGAAGGGAGAGGCACCAGGAGGCTGGAGGGGGTAAGGGAAGGTGCAGGTGTCAGGGGAATTGTGGGGGTGAAGCAGAAGGGCAGACACGTGGAAGGGAGGGACAGGTGCCAGAGGGCGGTGGGTAGAGGGAGGTGTTAGGAGAGGGGATGGAGAGGAGGCTAAAGGAGGGCTGGGCACAAAGGGGAAGAGAAGGGCAGGTGCAGGGGCCAGAGAAGATGAGGAGAGTGAGAAGGGCAGGAGCCAGGACAGCAGAGGAGGGTGAGGAGTGGGAAGGCAGCAGCAAGTACCAGGGGAGTAGATGAGATGAGGAGCGGATGGAAGACCTGAGCTCTGTATTGGCGCACAAGACAAAACTTACTCCGTTCATGGATGGAAAATAGTAACAGGAACACTGATGGTGAGTAAAAGAATGGAGGAAGAGGGATCATACTGAAGTACAAGTTGTGATGGGGAGGGAAGTCCTGCAGGAGGGGGGTGGGGCTAGGACTGGCCCAGCCTCGGCTCTGCCCAATGGCCGGGGGAGGGAAGAGAGCCAGGGTTGGCCTGGCTTCACCTCTGCCCAACGGTTGGTGTGGGGGAAGTGGGCAGGCCGGGGCGTTGGCTGGGGGGAGTCAGGACTGCCTATCCCCAGAGACAGTGGGGTTGGCGAGCATAGCAAGCAGGGAGCACCGCCTCTAGTATAAGATTAAAATAATTAACACACAGGGAGGTTGTGAAGTGTAATTAATTGTCAAGTGCTTTGTGACCATCTGATGAAATGTGCTATAGAAATGTAAAGTTATTTAATTTATAGACTTAAATATTTTCGATTTCTGTATTGACAATGTACACTGCAACTTGACTGACATTAAGACCCACAAAGTCCTTTATTTCTGCTATCTGCAAATTCATCTGTCAACCACAGGAAAACAGGGTGTGCGTGTGCATCACAAAGCAATAAATCTGTTATGCTGTTAACTGTTTTTCTTCTGACTCACGCTTTGTAATAAAGTGTAATGAAGTACTAAAACAGAAGTTTGTTTTTAGTTCTGTTTTTAGCAACAATGAGCAAGCATCACTCAAACGGAAAACTTTCCTATACTGTTTCATTACCTAAGATGAAAGGAGAAAGCTTCTACTTACTGAATGAAGCCCAGGACTTAAAGCCTTTGTGCCAGGTAGAACATTAGTCTGACACTGACTTAAGAAAACTGATGGTAACTGCTGACATGCTGATGATGTCAAAGGCATTTGAATTCACTGTGCTAATTTTAGGCTAGACATCCAGCTGACTTTCTATTACATTTTTCAACTTTTGTAACCCATACAAGACATTTGTTAAGCTTCATTAGGAAGAGACCAGAAGATTTTTCCTTTACATAAGGTTGAAGCCAGTGTTTTCCTGTAGGACTGATTTTCAGCCCCCACATAAAAGAGAGGTAGTTGAGAAATTCGTGTTTTTGGGATCTTTGGGTGCCGGCTAAAGCTATATCTGCACTCTTCTCCCGGAGGCAGCATGCAGGGTCTGTGAAGCTACACAATGCAGTGGAATGCAAGCTGCGTCTGCTCTGTGAATAGGGTGACCAGATGTCCAGTTTTGGACCCCAGAACACCTGGTCAAAAAGGGATCCTGGCAGTTCTGGTCAGCACTGCTGATTGGGCTGTTGACTATCCAGTGTGTTATTTTAGGTTTTTGACTGGCCCTGGGCATTTCTTAATTTTTATTTCCCTCTTACGCTTAAATTTAATTCTTTGAGTGATGAGTTTCAAAATGCCTAACCTGTAGTGACTGGAGTAACTATCCCTATGGTCATTTTAAATTTTATATATATATAGGTTTTTGGTTTCTTCTGGTGTTGCATAGCTGCACATTACCTCGATATTGGTGCACATAACACAATTCATTCCCTCTAATTTTTTCCATACAGGTGCAGAACAATGGCCAGGAGTCTCCTGGAATCAAGATCAATCTCCTGGAGGCTCCTGCAGCTGAAAGTCTAGCAACATAGTGGGGCTAAGGCAGACTCCCCACTGCGCTGGTCTGCGCCACTCCGGGAGAAGCTGGGATGTACTTGTAGCCCCTGCGGGAACCTTTGATTGAAAGCACTGCCCCCACAGCTCCCATTGGCTGGGAATGGAGAACCATGGCCAATGAGGAGGGGGTGGGGGAAATCACAGAATGATGGTTGCTTTTTTTTGCAACAGTGTCACACGGTTAACTCATATTCAGTTGGTGGTTCATTATGACTCTCAGATCCCTTTCTGCCGTACTCCTTCCTAGGCAGTCTTTTCCAATTTTGTGTGTGTGCAACTGATTGTTCCTTCCTATGTGGAGTACTCAGCATTTATCCTTATTGAATTTTGTCTTCTTTATTCAGAGCATTTCTCCAGTTTGTCTAGATCCTAATTTTAATCCTATCCTCCAAAAGACTTGCAACCCTCCCTGTCTGATATTTCCTGTCTGATATAGCCCTCCCTGTCCAATGATTCCTGTGTTACTGAGGATAAATCAAGAATGTTCATGTGTTCTAGAAGCAGATGTTCCAAGAAGCAACTCTCTAAATTGTCTTAAAAAATGCTACTCTACATTTTGTCTAAGAAGCCTATGTCTGCGCTAGGAAAGTTTGATGACAAAAGTGCTGTCGACATGCAAAAGTCGCCACAACTGAAAAACAATCAAGCCAGTTCTTCTGCCTCTCACTGTCGACATTTCATAACCGCATTGCTAGTACCATGTTGACAGGTAAAACAAAGCAATGTGGGTGAGCATCCCATAGTGCAGTGTTGTGGGAAGGCAGAGCTGATCCCTGCGCTTTTTGGGATTCCCTCTGTGGCATAGTGGGGGGGCTGCCTGCTCTGTAATAGGGGGTCCCCGTATGAGCTCCCTATGCAGAAAATGCCAAAGCTGCTCAACTGTCTATCCAGCCCTCCCCCTGCAGTGAGGATGTTAAATATCGGTTAATTTACTAGTTGAGTAGTCGATGGAATTTCCATTGACTACTCAACAGGCACTTCCGCATTCCTCCTTTGAAATGTTCAAGAGCTCCTGCTGCAGCTTTTGAACATTTCAAAGGAGGAATGCGGAGCTCGCATGCAGCCCGGGGCCAGCGGGAAGCCCCGCTGACTCTAGGCTGCACGCAGGCATGCCAGCTTTGAAATGCAGAAGAGTGCCTAGCGAGGGCTTGTGTGCATTTCAAAGTGGAAGTGCTCTCATGGAGCCTGGGGTCAGAGTCAGCCTCTGGAGTCAGAGTCCCCCGCTGACCCCAGGCTCCATTGCTGCTTTGAAATGGCATGTGGAGCCTGAGGTCAGTGGGGATTCCCCAGCTGACCCCGGGCTCCACGTAGTGCTGCCACTTTGGAACACTGTGGCGGCATTTCAAAGCAGCAGCGCTGCATGGAGCCTGGATTCTGTGTGGTGCTGCCGGACTCTGTGTGGTGCTGCCACTTTGAAGTATCCTATCTTCATCCCCTCCTTTGCTGCCTCTATCTGACAGAGGCAGGAAGTTGGGGAGAACTGACTAGTCGATTCGACTATCCAGTAAGCATTTGCTTATCTGCTAGTTGACTAGTCCTTAACATCCTTACCCTGCAGCAGCAGTCTGCCTGCCACTGTGTTTCTAGTGCAGGGCAGAACAGGAGCATTCCAATGATTTGTTCTTTGTTCTCCAAACATAACAGCTCACTCAGCTGCCAGAGAGTTGAGGGGCACATGCCTGCAGTGCAGCAGAGATCAAAACACTTAGCAGAGACATTAGGGCAGGCATTGTGGGACAGTGATAGAAGCCAGTTCTGTGCACAGTACAAACTGCAGAGTCCATACTGGCTCTTTGTCGACAATAGAGGGAAGGGAAAAGACAAAATTCTCTTATGGGATGGAAGTCTGTCATCACCAAAACTGGGTGTGTGATTGCTCAAATTGTTTTGTTGCAAAGGGGAAGTCTTTGGTGACAAAACTTGGTAGTGTAGTAGACAAAACCTTTCACGCAACATCAGTAAACATTCTCAACAGAGTAATGAAACAGAACACTTCTTCCTGGCTCATTCCAAATTACAGATATTTGAGAGATTAAGGCGGTCTTATTTCAGGCCAGTTTGAGGCCTAACCTCCATATTTATGTGAGTATAAGTGCAAATCTGAGTAGTTGCAACTCCAACTTTCATGACTCGTGGCCACAGCTTTTCAAACTCATGCAGTATTTGAACTGCAGACACTAATTGCAGCTGCAAAAGGAAGGCTATTCTTTTGGAAGCATACTGTTAAACTGTATAAAACACTTTAATTTCACTGGAAATCCAAAGGCAGGGCTGTCCTTAAGATTTATGGTGCCCTACACAGGTGGAGGGGGGAAGAGCTCTGTGGGGATGGATGGGACTGCGTTCAGGGCTGCAGGGACAGGAGCAAGACTGAGAAGCATATACATGAGAACCAGAGGGTGCTGCAGCACCCCATATTTTATGTGAGGTCCTGGCCACTGCCTAGAGTCCCGTCTGCTTGCCTTGCACGGGCTGCATATGCTTAATGATGACCCTGTCTAAGTTAAAGTGAAAGATTACTCACCCACTCGGAAGTATGAAACTTTTGCTGGTCTGGTGTTGTTCCATGGCTGGGAACAATAGTCTGTTCCACTTCTTCCAAGACTAAAAAACAAACACAGAGATGTGTAGTAGATCTGTTTGTAGCTTTTAAATAAGTAGCTTGAAGGCAAGGTGCTTTACTTCATTTCACATTTTCAAGAATTGTTTAGTTTTATCTTTTCAGAATTTCAAATATATCTTTTCAGTATATTGAGCGTGGTTAATCAATATACATTTATAAAGCTAGGGTCTTTTCAGAATTTCAAATATAGTCGAGCATGGTTAATCAATATACATTTATAAAGCTGGGGTGATACTTGACTCTAAGATCTGATTTCATTTGTCTATGGAGTTACATTAGCAAAACAGAATAAAGAATAGCACCCTCAATTTTCATTTGGAATGGAAGACTTCCTATTAGCATAGGGTGACCATCTGTCCCTTTTTTACGGGACAGTCCTTTAAGTCCTTCTCTCAGTATCCTGACTTTGCCACCAACATACGGAGCTTCAGCCGTGGGAGCCCTGAGCACCGGCAGCTCCTTTCCCACTTCCCCTGTGGGGCTGAAGCCCCAAACACCACTGGCTCCCTTCCCCCCCACTGAAGGGCTGAAGCCGTGCGTGCCAGCAGCCTCCCCCTTGGGACTAAAGCCCCAAGCACCAGCAGGCCCCCCATTTGGTGTCCCGTGTTCGGCATAAGGAAATATGGTCACACTATATTAGCACCTCCCTGTTCCATACTCCATGTGATGGAAGAAAGTTATCACTAAGGTTTGGATTCTACTACTTTCACTCATACACTAAACACACCTGTCCAGTCCTAGATGAAGGACTTTGCAAGACCAGGGAAGTCATTTATGGCCCCTCTGCAAACTGGCCCTCCCCAGCCCTGGCTTGCCAGCCAGCCTCCCAGTCAGCTTCCTTCCTACCACTGCCTCACCAGACACCATGCTCCTGACTCTGCCAGGCTCCCGGCCCCACCAGGCTCCTAGCTACCAGCCCTCCACGAGGACTCCCCTGGAACATCCCCTGCTCCCCCTAAAGCACAGGGCCTGAGGTTGCCCTGAACCATCTTATAGATGGGACGGTTCTAACTCTGAGTTACCACAGAGAATTCTTTCCCAGGTCTCTGGCTAGCAAATCCCACCCCATGCTCAGGGTTTAATTGATCAGCATATTTGGGGTTGGAAAGGATTTCCCCCAGAGGTCAAACTGGGAGAGACCGTGGGGAATTTTCCCCTTCCTCTGCAATGTGGGGTACAGGTCACTTGCAGGTTGAAAATGGAACAAACAGTGAATTCTCTAGAATGAAATCTTTATATCAAGATTTGAGGACTTCCATAACTCAGCCAGAGGTTATGGGCCTATACAGGAGTGGGTGAGTGAGGTTCTGTGGCCTGTCAAGAAGCTCAGATTAGACAATCCTGAGGGTCCCTTCTGGTCTTAGGAAAAAACAGAATAGCTTTGGGGGAGAGTGTTAGCTGGGAAGAGCCTTGGAACTAAGAGCAAAAAAAACAAAAAAACAAAAAAAAACTACTAAGGATTTTGTGCATTCTTTTGAGCTATCCTTTTTATTTACAAATAAATTCCTGACTCATCAATTTATCATTTTAATGGAAACAATCAGCATGACTGTATATCGACTAAGTAGTTGGTCAAAAAGGAGAATGATTATTTATGCTTCTAATTTATATCAGAGTGACAGCTCCTCTGTACTTAAGGCTAAAACCAGCTTTGTTTAAAACTCAGTTGTTCTAAGTGTTCTAAAGTCCATACAATTGATCAGAATGGCTTGAATTTTGGAGTGAGTCAGGGCACAGGGCATGGGGAGTAAAACAGATTTTTCTTAAAATTGACATATGCTGGCAATGTGTGTGGAGCTATGTGTGTTTCCCCTCCTCACAAATGGAGATCAAATTAAAGCTCAGATGATTATACCAAGGTCTCAGATGCTTGATGGTTACTGCCAACAGACTGTATGGCAAGCACCAGCTCTGGGAGGAAATTAAAAAAAAAGTTAGTTGAAAAAGTTTGTTTCTCCATTTAGGCACCCTGAGGCTTCAGCTTCTATTCACACATCTAAAACACTGAGCACGCACTGCAAGAGAGGCTAACTATTTGGAAAACTACTCAGCCATCATGGGCCTAAGTCCACGCACTCCCAAGTTTAAAGCTGGCCCAAGGGCAGAAATCTGCAGTGAAAGAAAAATCCTATTGCCTTTATCAAAGGGATAAAGGTGAAATGTTATCTGAGTACAGGAGAAAATTCATAAAACACCAAAACAAAAATAATTTATATACATTAATGTAATTATTTAAATGAAGTATACTACACAAATGCTTGTTGGGAGTGGAACATGACTGAGGTAGAAGAAATATGCAGAGAGATGCACTGAGGGAATCACGTGATGGGGAGAAGATGGAAACCAGACAGAGTGACTGAGGGAGACTATGGTCAGCGGTGCCTTTAACCTCTAAGCCCAACAATTCACTCTAGTGTGTGTGTCAGTAATATAGCATGTGTCAGTCTCCAAGGATGTGATGGAGGTAAAGTTACCCAGTGATAGCTAATGCCCTTCCAAAACACTGAGCTCAGCAAAACTCTCCTCTGAAAACCAGGATATACAGAATTATGCTCAATGTCTACACAGCCTTAACTCTGCCCTTTTTGAGACATGCCCCAATACAACCAATCTCTTTTTCTCTGCCTTTTCACTACAATGGATAGGTTTTACTTGCACTTGTCCTCTTAGCCTCAAACACTGAGCCTTCTTCCCTGGCAGAATACTACTCCAGAAAAATTTAACAAACATTTCATACCCTTTTATATCCCCTTCAGACTTGCAAAGGGGATATTGCCTAAACCTATACGTCCCCCTATCCATCACAGCATCCAGACTGCTTTTATAGTTCATTTTATTACTGACAATACCCCTGTCAAGAGGACTCCAATACCCTGTTACTGCCAGAGCCTACACAATTCTGCAGTGTTGATAACACAGCTGGTAGATGGAAGGGGTGAGGGCTCAGACCCAGATCTCCTCTTTCAAACTGCTCTAGTTTCTCTCTCCACTATTCAGTGCACCTATACCTAATACAGTACATGCAGCTGGAGTGCATGCAGATAATTGCCAGTGGTGATTTCTAGCTCCAGGGGTGCAGAGTTAAGATTGTGTGGGCATTTATCTTAACTCTCCATTTTCTTGTTTTCAGATGTTTGAGCCTGTGGAACTCAGCATTCTGGAAGGGCATGAGCTATCACTAGGATAGTGGTAAATTACCTGTGTTGCTGAAGTGTTTTACCATTCAATTATCTGGAGAAACCAAACCAATCAAAATAGAACTATTCCGAGCATCACGATCTCTTTTCACAATATTGATCATGTGCAATCTTAAAAACAGTTCTTCGCTTCAACTCTGTCAGACACTGCAAAGGACAAAAACTCAGCCACAGCCGTGAGTAAGATGTCTACCATGTAATCACGAACGCAAGGCCAGTCTGTCAGAATGTGTGAGGACATTGGGGAATTGAAAATAGTTACCTTGCCATAAATGTCATCTGTCACATTCCTCACAGTGTCTGGTAAATGAGAGCATTGACTGGTTGTCACAGCAGTTTAAAAATAACACATTCCAAATCCTTCACTCACAGGGGAGAAAAAGATACGGAACACTGCACTCTCATGGGGTACATTCCACTCCTGTGCAGAGGGTCAATACAAAGCCTGTTGGCCAGTCAGCTCCTGCTGAGCTTTTTAGTGGGATTTGCCTGCTGCACATACTTTATACTTGCCCTTTGCACGTGGAAAGATTAATCGTCAATTATTTAGGAGAGTTCACTGGCTGACAACATAAAAACGTAATCCTACATTTTGAGACAATGAGTAACACCCAGCTTGTAGAAATGTCACAAATTAAAAAGTCCAACATACATTTACAGCGAGTAAGTAAAATGTAATACGTTTTAGGTGAATTTAAACATTCCCCTGCAGTGTTCAGTCCCATGGTTGTAGGCCGGTGCTACTTCACCAGAAGCAGTACATGAAATTGATTAGTCTTCTTTAACTGTCCAAATTGACTGGAATAGCAAAATAAAATAAAGGTATCCATAGACCTAGAGTTGGAGCTACTGAATGGAGTCAGATACCCCAAGCTTTGTTCTGTCCATTTGGTATAAGCCATACCATCCAAATGTAGTGCAATCCTAAGTCTGTATTTCAGTATGCTCCTTTGTAAGGAGAGCTAATTGTGTGACTTAGGCCTTGTCTACATTAACCCCGCTTCTTGTGTGTGGTAAGGTTGGCAGGGTTTGCTCTTCTGACAATGCCGGGTATTCTTCTCCATCCCCAAAGTCACTCAGAGATAGATTTATCACATCTAAGCAGATGCAATAAATTGATGGCTGGTGGATCGATTGCTGCAGCATCGATCCCTGGTGTAGCATAGACAAGGATTTTCAGTTCCTTAGAAAAGGGACTGATGCTCCTCATACTTGTATCTGGTCACATCAGTGGAAAAATCTCCATCAAGGAAAGCAGATGGGCCCACCTATTGGTCACTGACAAGCAAGGAAGCAAAAGGCTTTCTGAAGAAAAGAGAATGTCCCCTTGATCACAAAGCCACACCTCAGCAGGCACTGTTCCAGGAGCTCTGGAAAGGGATAAAGCAAGATATGGGTATACATTCTGGCTCCTGAAATGAAATTTATTCTGCAGCTTATTTTCCGGAGGTACAATTTTCAGAAGACCATGGGATGGCTCTGAGTGGTCACTCCCTGATTCTGAGGAAACCAATGGTCTACAGATGAATTACTTTGACCCTGTTCTGTTGAAAGACTAGGACCAATACTCACGCATCTCCTAGCAATAGATTATCGGCACATTAGATATGAGGAACTAACAATTGCTTCTATCATAGAAGTAGTAATATGAACACCTGCAAATAGATATCTACGGGTACGTCTACACTACCCCCCTAGTTCGAACTAGGGGAGGTAATGTAGTCATACGGAGTTACAAATGAAGCCCGGGATTTGAATTTCCCAGGCTTCATTTGCATAAAGCC